GGAAGAGCCCTGTGGGTGATAGCTAAGACGTGCGGAGATGGTGAATGAAAACAGGCGCGTATGGATGTAGCCGTGTGGAGTGAGAATTTCTTTCGTTCTCTTCTGTACGTTGTTATTGGTGTGGGGAGGGCGAGTAAAGCAGTACGTGGGGTGTATTGTACACAAACAGACGTAGTCGCTGCCAATTGAACGGAAATAGAGGCCTAATAGAGGGTGTATTGTACACAAGCAGGCATAAATAGACGCTGTCAATTCGACGGAAATGGAGGCCTGATAGAGAGTGTATTGTACACAAGCAGGCGAAGACGCTGCCAATTGATCGAGACAGCTATCTCATGCAACCCCAATTCCAGATATCTTCTTATACTATATCATATAGATTAACCCAATCCTTTTATCAAACTGCCCCTCCATGTTTTGTGTGCCTGTTAAGCACAAGCAAGATATCCAGGGGCACAGTTACACATGCATATATACATAGTTTAGTAAGTTCACACTCATGGTTGTTGTTATAGACTTGTACCCCTAGCGTATCCTGTACACCTCTTCCAGCGCATATGGAACATTGTATACATTCATCCTAACGCGCACCCACATACACATGCTTGTACACTTTCTCCGGAACAAATCTTGTATGAGAGGACTCACTGGCTCACACTCAGCTGTAAATTGCACCACTTATGTACTGAATATGGACACACACATATGTGCACCTCTTCCAAGGCAAACAGGACACCGCCAAGGACTGCTACATGAATAGAAACCACACATGTACGAAGGTGTAGGTACACATATACACACCCATGCTATTTAGTACACAAAGGCACCTCTCGAATACTGCACACACCTCTTCCAGCGCAAACAGGACACCCCCAATGGGTGCACCAAAGGCCGCGGCGACACCAGCAGCAGCCCCGCAACTTACGAAGTCACGTTTCGCTCTGTCGGTTCGGAACATGCGCATGTGCGTGTTAATCCATGGTAGGGAGGTTGATTTGCCCTGTATTGGTCGCAGGTCGAAGGTGTTTAGAACGAAGGACGAGAGAGATCTGTTCAAGCGCACCTGTGAACGTGAGCCCAAAACAGGTGATCGTGGACAGCTTGCTCGCCGATTGGAAATGGTTAGTAGGACAGGTGATTGATATAATACACACACATATACAATTGAGAATTAGAAACAAATACTTACGGAAGACAGGTGATTGATATAATATACACACATATACAATTGAAAGTTTGAAACAAATACCTACGGAAGACAGGTGATTGATATAATATACACACATATACAATTGAGAGCTAGAAACAAATACCTACGGAAGACAGGTGATTGATATAATATACACACATACAATTGAGAGTTAGAAACAAATACCTACGGAAGACAGGTGATTGATATAATATACAC